ACTATTGAACAACTAGGAAAAATGAAAAAAATACTTCTATCGCCAGCATAAATGCGTAATTATTTTTTTTACAGAAAAAGTAATTTTTCACCTTTGATTGAGTAACGCGTCATAGACTGCAGATACGGGCATGCAAAATACACTTGTGAAAAGCTTGAAGTCTGGCGATTCTAAAAATATATACTTTCCCGGGTCTATTTGTAGTCATTTAGTCACAATTAGAAGATGAAAACAAGTATACAAATAATAGTCCCGCTACCTTAATAGGCATGAACCACTAATTAAATCAGTATACACATATAACTTTATTACACAATGTTGTTATTGTAAATACAACTACAGAAACATGTGTTTTACACTTGCATATAGTCTCTTGTTTATTTGTTGTTGTTTTCTCAATCAAGTTTTATGGGAGTGTATAAATGGTGAAAGTGAAAGTCTGGTTACAGCGAAATAAACATTGAAAAACAAAAAAAATAAACAAAGGATTGTATGCAATTCTACATGTTTATCAATAAGCAATGAATCTAGTATTGTAGATGTAACATTTGCCTCAAAACATCCAAACACTCAATTTAACTTTTATTATTAATTAATAGTGCAATACAGTTATTTTTCTTGATTTCAATTACCATTAGTAATATTGTTATCATGTTGACTTAACTGCCATTCCCTAAATATCATTTGTCATTTACTTTGTAACTACAATTTGTTCTCTATTTCTTTTGGATTCTATTATCCAGTATTTGTTTGTCTCATTCTTCTTTCTAAATCACTCCAATTATGGTCACTCAAACCTAACTTGGCCAAACAAGTGTTATCTTAGTGCTTCAAAAGTTGTTTACTTTAGTTCTCTTTATGTTCACTGTTTATCAAGACCCTTCAGCTGTATCAGACACATTATCTGCAACTCTTTATCAATACATTACTATTACTATTAGTAAATATGCACTTTTGTAAAAAAAAATGTAGAAAATTTTCGCATTGAGATTTCTAAATATATTTAACAAGTTTAGTTAGGCCAAAAAAAAAAACTTGTGTTGCCCTCAAGTCGGAAAATTAATACTTAATTTAACATTTAATAATTGATCCAGCTTTTGCTGTCATGCACACACCAAACGTGTTCACTACTGCTGTACACATGTATACACAATGACAAACCTGGAAGTGAGAATAAAACAATGTATTGTTTTTGATTCAAAATAATGTTTTTATGTTCATTAAGAAAATACTTGGTGCAGCGATATTTTTAATATTGTGCACCAACTATCGGTTGAATCACAAATGTCAAAAGACGTGTTTGCTCTTCAGACTTCATAGTATTCGGAACATGTCAGAGAAATACAGATCAACTCGAGGGACCTAGGGATTAAACAACGGTCCGGGATTGTAAATTTTTAGAGGAAACACTTTTTTTTTTATATTTGGGCCTCTTAAAAAAACAAAAAAAAAACGCGGTGAGGGCAACAAAACATTTTTTTTTTGCCCTTATAGTGAACATTATCAATTTCTAAATATATAACGTCTGTTAGTATTCAAATAAACCTGAAATGCAATTATGACATTATTTATTAGGTTTTAATTTACATTAATGAATTAGTTTAAAATCAGCACTTTATTCTGATAAAATTAGTGGTTGCAATCAAATGAAAGCAGATTTACAAATTTTTATGAATACATTTCTAAAATCAGGTCATAGTTGAGTTACCATACAAGATACACCAATAGGACTAAGAGTTAACACAGTAAATGCAGTGGAGAACTGGATGGGAAAGACTCAACCAATTACTTCACAAACTATGTAAAACAGGTGTCAGTGTAACCAATAGAGGGCGCTAACACTATAACCTGACAACAACACAGTTCTTTATGTGTCAAAATTAAACAAATTTATGCTATAAATTATACACAATTATATTACCCATATGTCTTATTCACAAATGAGACTGTTCAATTCATGTGTAAGATATTGATGAGTCTTGTAAATGGCTTTTCAAATTCCCTGCCAATTTTCTAACTGATTGCTCAATCTAATCTGGTCACCCTGCATATAGTGTCAAACTGTAAATATCGTATCACTTGAAATACTGGCTGTATTTCTGCTGAAATATCAATATTTCTTGAACACAAGTCATGTTCATTGTAAACATTAATTTCCTGACCTTTTTAAATTCAATATAATTACACATTTTTTTGTTTTTTGTTCATTTTTTCAATATCAATGCCAACTTCTGAATCACACAGTTTTTTCCATGAACACATTATCACCTGGCACCCTGTGCTTGACTCTATCAAGAGGTCACGTATTTGACCTCAGTAAAATAGATGAATCTGATTGGATGCTTCTGCCAATCAGAGTTTGTAGTCCATGTGCAGCAAAACAAAATTGCCATAGAGGGCGCACTTTAATACACATTTGCTCAACAGAAGCTGCAAAGGTATGGTGGTAAGGTAATGTCTGACAAATGGCAAAACATATTCATATAAAGTTGAGACAAATTGTTGTAAAAAAATATTGAGTAATTCATTCAAAGCACTATTCAGTAAAAAAGCTATGTTATTCTCACAGGAAATAATCTAATTTCATTTTACCATGATAACCATACAGTCAACTAATGTTGACCTGTGTGAAGTTAATACAAAATAACACAATGCAATAAAAACTGACACTTAGTAAATAAATTGCATTTTTGATCATTTTGGTCATGAATATCCAGTAACAAACAGTTATGTTTTCTTCCATATTGCATCTTTGTGTTACAGTATTATTGTAGTACAATGTACTGGTTGCTATGACAACCTAATAGAGGCTTTGCAGTAGTATCAAACTTGACGTATTTTACAGATTTGTTCTGGTTGCTACAAATGTGGAAATGGCGAATGAAATTCATTTTGGAGACAGAGAATGCCGCCTGAATGCTGAAAGTCATTTACAAAATGACATTTGTAGACAAAGCCCACAATTGTAAGTTACCATTTTTGATAATATATTATTTAAATACCTATAAAATTCTGAAGTTCAACACAGGAATACTGTTGCATTGTCAGAACACATTGATAACTACTGCCAAAATGACCTTGTTCATATAAAGTTATGTGATGGTGTCAGTTTGAAGTGTCTAGTACTAGATGTATAATAACAGTATTTTCGTTAATTGAAACGTCAACAAATATATTGTAGATTTTCTTTTGTTGTCGTTGTATGTTTAGTTAGTTAATAGAGAAAGTGTTCTTTCTCTTGTTTTTATAATAAATTTTATTTTATTTCCAGATGCAATGTTGAAGACAAAACCAGTAAATGTGGTTGGTATTACACAGGGACTGGTTATGAATACCAATTGTTAGCAGGACCATTATTTAATATTATATTCAGTTTCACCAGTGTTCCTGTAGGACTTATCTTAGAAAAAAATAAAAGTAACAGAAAGAATGTGATAGCAATCTCAGCTGTTTTATGGAGCTTTATGGTGATATTAGGTGGACTGGCAACACAATACTGGCATATTGCCGTCACCAGATTGGCAATTGCGTTTTTGTAAGTATTCTTATTCTTATGTATCTTGTAATGTGTAATGCTAAATATGCGGGTTGTGAATAAAGTTGCAAGCACCATTACATGGGTGAAAGCAAGTGACATATTAATTATGCATGTATAATTAAATTGGTTCAGATGGGTATGACAATGGTGGATACAATTATAGAATGTATTTTGCTGTTTTAAACTTGTGAAGAATAATTTGAGCAATGGAGCACTTTATTTTTTGCATTCAGTTCACAGCACATGTTTGTTTTCTAAAGTGACACAAATTGTCAAATACCATCAATGCACAGATCACTTGATTGAACAATTTTTGAATATGTATTGACTGATTTCTTTCAAAGTTGGTACATTTATATGTCATACATACGATTGTAATTGTGTTTTTTTTTATTTGTTTAAATATGCCACCCAGTGACCATTTTGGTCATAAAATATGCCTAAATTCTAATATTTAAAAGTATCCTTAACTGGTTCCAAGAGGATGAATGGATGGATGGATGGATGGGATGTGGTGGGTGTTGTTTTTTCATTGTTTTTCAAGTTTCAAAATATTTTTTTTTTTGTTATTTTGTTTTTCACTGTGTGATTCTATATCACAAAATATATTGGCACCCAATTTGTTACATAATCAAATTACTGGTGATCATTGTGGTTAAAAAATCATTAAATCTTTTCATTTTATTGATAATGTTTATTTGCTTTTAATTTTTAATTTTTGGTATCAGCAAACATGTGAAAATGAAACTCAGTAAATAATTATTCTCAGTTCCTTATTATTTTTATTTTTTTATTCAGTGAAGGGGCATTTACTGCATTCGCAGTTAGTCTTATTGGCAGCCATTTTTCTTCTGTAAGTATAAACAATGAGTAGTTGTGTTCCTATCTTCTGGTTTGATTATGTCAATGATGTACCAATTTATGATAATGTTTAGATGAAAATAAAAAAATAAAATAAAATAAAAAAATAAAAAATTGGAGCTTGTACCCACATTGGATTTTAATCAGATTGCTTTTATCTTTGTGCGTACATTACAGTATTCTTATGATAACATCATAATTCATTACTACATCTGTACGTATACTATCGCCATAGTTACAGTGTATGTGTTATATGAAATATGGATTCCCAAAATTCAAAGATGGCGAGATTGTTTTAAAGCGAAGGTCATAAAATTACTCATATTTTCGTGACCTGGCTCCACTATTATGTATAGATCGTTGTCTTTCAGGATATGCGTTCAATGGCAATGGGAATCTTTATGTGGGGAGTATACTTTGGTTATAGTTCAGCATTTATGTTAAAATTTGCTGCCAATATATATAGTTGGAGAATAGTGTATTTCATGACTGGTATTCCTGGAATTATTTTTGCTGTCATTACATATTGCACAGTATCTGATCCGGTTGTAGAGGTTAGTTTGTTTTTTATATCAAAATGTTTGTGTAGTCAATGTCAATCCATGCCAGTCTATGATTGGTCACCAGGTGTCAGTCTATGATTGGTCACCAGGTGTCAGTCTTTGATTGGTCACCAGGTGTCAGTCTTGATTGGTCACCAGGTGTCAGTCTTTGATTGGTCACCAGTAATCCATGTCAGTCTTTGATTGGTCACCAGTAATCCATGTCAGTCTTTGATTGGTCACCAGTAATCCATGTCAGTCTTTGATTGGTCACCAGTAATCCATGTCAGTCTTTGATTGGTCACCAGTAATCCATGTCAGTCTATGATTGGTCACCAGGTGTCAGTCTTTGATTGGTCACCAGTAATCCATGTCAGTCTATGATTGGTCACCAGGTGTCAGTCTTTGATTGGTCACCAGTAATCCATGTCAGTCTATGATTGGTCACCAGGTGTCAGTCTTTGATTGGTCACCAGTAATCCATGTCAGTTTCTGATTAGTAGTCATTGTTAAAACATACATAGCTATTAGTTTATTATATGTTACTACAATTATTTAAAATTATAAATATTTTAATTTGTATTTCCACAGCACCTTGATTATGAATCAAGCTCATCATCTCAAAAACTAAAAGAAGAAAAAAAAACCTCCTCGCTGTCACCAGCTCCATTATTCAATCATCTGTACATTGTATTGGTCTTAGCTGGGTCCATTCGCTGTGCAGGGGGGCATACATTCAATTACAACATCCACAATTACGTCAACTATTTTTACCCAGGTTATCCAATAGAAAGGTTCCTTAGTTGGATACCTGCTGTTACGGGAGTTGCTGGCACCCTTGTTGGAGGCATATGGGCTGATAGATTATCCATTCAGATGAAGCAAGGGTTCATGGGAAGGTTGACTGTTATTCTTTTTACATTGGTATGTTCTGTAAGATTTCAGATACTTCATTAAGTTGTATATATTGACATGGATAACAAATATATTTATGAATAGTGAAAAGTGATTTAACTGAAATGATAACAATTATTGTATACATGTTTTTTGAAATAATGTTTCCCTTTATTACAGGTTTTATCAACACCGCTTTCTATGTTGATACTATTCTCAGATCCGCCATGGTTTTTTCTTTTCATGATCCCATGTTATCTTTTAAATGAGTGTTTGGGTGGAATTCTCATGACTGCTATATTGGAGCAGGCACCAGTCAGGCAACAGGTAGTTTCCGTGGCAATATACTCTTTTTCACTCAACATCCTTGGTGGTAATATCACTTTACTAGTACCTATGCTAAGGGCTGCATGGGGATGGCAGGTAACTATGCTTATTTTGTGGCCTGGAACATTTGCCATTTCAACCATTTTGTTCTGGTGGTCAACAAAATTAGCAAGAAGAAGAATTATTAAAAACACAGAGTATGATGAGGATTTATTACCTGGTGACATTTATACTTGACACTTGGGTTGAAAATTTGCTTAATTTATTTTCCTTATCTCATAACTTCTTATTAGAATGTTCACATACTATGTGTAATTTTCCTTATAAGCTTCATGACCTGGCTTGCATTTTCCTATAGTGGAGTAAGAGTATGACATCATCGATATGATATCATTATGACATCATCGATATGACATCATCATTATGACATCATCGTTATGACATCATCACACAGTCAAAATGCTTCAGTTCCATCTCACTCATTTAAAAAAACATTACATTATGCTAATAAACAATAAATATAATAAACACCAAAGCCAGAAATTTGTGATTTCTTTTAGAACTGCTCATGTATGTACTTGGTTTAAAAGAAAATTTCAAGCATTCAAGTTCACTCAAGTTGGATATAAA